ATACTTTTATTATAAATTAATAAAAATAAAAACCTTATATTAAATATATAAAAAGTTAATATAAACTAATAAATTACACTAAATAATATATAAATATAATATACTATATTTTATATTAAAATAAATAATTATTTAAATAATTAATAGAAAACTATATATAACTAAAAATAAAAGAAACTATTTATTAAATAAAAACTAATATATTTTTAATATAGTTTAAAAGTAGTATTAAAGAAATATTTAAATACTTATTATATAAATACTAAAATATAAAAAAGATAATTAATAAGTTAAAAAGATTATATAAGTTTTTAAGAGTAATCTCAGAGTCGCTGCTGCCGCCTCCGGAATGGTGGCACCCCCAAACAGGCAACGCGCGCCATGCCGCTTTGCCCACCCACCCCTGCTCGAGGGCCCTGCCCCGCCGCGTCATGCCCGCCGAAATATAAATACCATGGCCTCCTCCGTCCACGGCATCAGGTACTCTAGACTTCTTCTCTCCTCAACCCGCCGCCGCAATACGCTTCCTCTCGGTGCCCGAGTCCCCTGCAGCGCAGCCCCTTTTCACCATCCCCGTTGGCCTGTGTCCGCCCGAGGGATCCTACGCAGTCGGGGTCGGATAGGCCCAGGCGGGCTGTTTTTGTCCCGTGTCTTTGCTTGATGCTAACGGCTCTGCTGCCGCTTCTCGCCCAATTACAATGTCCAAGGTCGCGTGCTCTAGGCAGTACAGGCTGCCTAGCCTGTATGTTTATTCTATCCCCAAAACCCAAGTTCTGTCCTGGACCGATCGTTGACTTGTTCTAGCTCGCAGGCATCTCCCGTTTCCTCGGTGCTGCGTTCTGGATGATCATCCGCGACATTCCCTTGACTAGTCCCAAAAATGCCTCACGATACATGACAACAAGCCTGCTTTTGCCGAAATTGCATCGGCTGTCATGGACCCCGTGGGCTGAGTTTCTGGACCGCGAGATGGAACCCATCAGAGTTGACACGTCACCGGAGTGGGCACGAGGAAGGTCTCGACCGCTCGATATTTCGGATGTGCTTCCTGAAAAGGGCATACGTGCGTTGTGGCTTCCCTGCTATTTTCGGGAAATCACGGCGTTGCCGAGTTTGTTGCATTGCTTTGAATCATTCTGCGGAACACGCAATCGCGGTCTCAAGGATCACTGGCTATGACCAGCATTTCCAGTTGCTGTATGCAGTCAGACGGGCCGATTCGACAGCGCCGAAAAGCGACGTGTCACCGACTTTCTGAGGTATAACTTCCAGCATACAGGCAGGCCGTGCAGATACGAAAGTACAAAGCACGGTTCGTGTGACTCGGCAATTACATGATTGGTACGGAGCTGGACCTGCGACCAGGCTATGCTGAACTTGCTACGTCCATTTTGCTGTGAAGGGGTCGCCGCCGCTGCCTTGCATGGGAGGCATTCTTGCGAACTGGGAGCTGTCGGCGCTGGGACGGCTCGCGAGATCCAAACAAAGAGTATTCATTTCTGTTTACTTAAAGGCCTCGTAAGCCCGAGAGATTTGGCACAGTCGAAGTTGAAGTCAGCCCTTCCTAGTAACTTCAGGTTTGTTATTCACAGGTAAGCACTGCGACAGCACAATGACAGCCATTTCCACCCACGACCAGCACGTCTCTTCTACTGCCACAGCGGCGAGGCAAGAGCGCGACATCGCACCTGCGACATGCTCTAAAGTTGTAGAGCACGAAGACAGACCACCTGCACCAGCTCTGACGTCTCGGCATCCGTCCCAATCTCCTGCATATGAAGCCGAAGCCACAGGCGAGGGCCCAAACGAGGCAATTCTTATTTCCACTGATTCGGAATCGGAGTCCATGTCGGAGTCGGATGGCGAAACGGACGACGACGTTCCGTCTCTCAAGACAATGAATGGACGTATCGATAAGGAGACTACAACACAGCCTAATACTTCGTCAGGTGAGTTAGCCTCTAAGCCTTGATAAACCGTCAAGCAGAGGAAGCGAAGCGAATGTCAAAGCTAATTATCGTGCTAGCATCAATAGCAACTGTGCCTGATACGCCGCGAGACGTTTCACTAAGTCCTGAAGGGGATGACGACTTGGATGGGGCTGTACGATGCTCACGTTCTGCTTTTCCCAACACCTCGCCCCCCCAAAGGCAGGCGTCCAGGGATGGGTCAGACTCCAGTCGGCCCTTACCAAGTATACCCACTGAGGTAGCTGAGCAAGGTCGTGGTCAGGCAGAGGACGTAGACGAGTCACTCTCAAGCCATCGTGACGATCGTGAACCGAGCTGCTGTGCCGAGCTGCCGCGGCAGACTCAGCCACATGAGGGCGCCATTCACAACAATTTAGCCTCTATCGATGGCGACGGCAACATCGCTGATGATGGCGACAGTGACAGCTCGTCCCGCGATGCCGACAGCGACAGCAGCAGCGATAGCGACAGTGGTAATGATGGCGAGGACGATGACTACAACAATGACGGAAGTTCCAGCGATACCGACGGCGAGGATGGCGGCCACAGCAAAAAGCGCAGGGCGGACCAGTCGCCTCCAGTGACCAGTTCCGACGATGGTCATGCTGACGGCCTTTCCGATGACAATATGGCGGTGAAGACTCCCAGACCGCACAAACGCCAGAAGGTCGCCCATGAAGGAGCAGACATGATGCCTGTCTGTAGCCAGAACCCTATGCCTCGCTCTGGAGGACCTCCGCTGCGATCGCCTAGACGGGCTCAGACAGCCAGCCGGCATGCTTAGCCCACCAGCAGCCTCCCACACCCTGTCCGAACCTGAGAGCGAGAATGGCTCAGATTGCGGTAAGGCGTCGTCAGGATCCTTCGGTGAATGGCAGTTGCAAAACGCTGCATTAAAATGCGTGACGATTGACGGAATCACTACGTTTCAATTGCAGTTCCAACGTGTGCAGGCGCATTCTTGCAGCAGCCGGCGACCGCATAAACTGGTCAAGAGCAAGGCCAGAGGTCGAAAGTCAAGGGATGAGACGAAAGGTCGACGATGTGCTGTGTGCAGCCAGCCTGGTCATAATGCGCGAACCTGTCAGGCACGTGCGAACATTTAGCGAGGACGGCATTGACTGGCTGTATCTACAGCCCTCCTGCGGCGGACGCAAGGGCTATGGGAGCTCGTGGAATACTAGCAAGAGCAACAGCGAATGACAAGCGGGACACGGAAGATGTTTCTCGCAATTTTTAGTACGGCGCGTAAAAACACGGTCGAACAGCCAGTATTTCTAAATATCAATACGAAACAGCTGCCAAGACGTCAAGAGCTCGGTTTTGCTTCGAAGATTCCGTTGTCTGCAGCCGTTGCGTTTGAGAAATGGGCCAGCCGTAGACAGTCTCCCAAAAATATTGCTTTATCCAAGCATCCATCCATCCAAAAAAAAATTGCGATTGCTCTCCTGCCAACCATGTCCCCCTATCGTTACAATACGCCAGTAAGCTGACCCGGCGGCCCAATCTTAGGAGGAGCCCGAAGCTCAGTATATGCCGAAACCACGGGTGGAGGCGACCGGCCTGTAAAATAAGTGTCCTTCTACCCTATTTAACATACGCTACATGCTTGCATGCTTCCGGGTGAACGAGGTGGCTGGGTACACTTCTAGGCGTACTAAAAATAGTAGTTTAAATATACTTGCGCCTCGTGCTGTGACAATCTGACTATCTATATCATCACCGTATACGTCTGGCTATTCTCCACAAGCTCCATACCAAGCGTTGCACTGAAACAATCTACGTCCAGCTCTTCTTCCATCGTGTTCATCGTAGAAGTGTGGCGCCTCAGAGGAATGAAACCTTCCCCCTCTTCAACCCAGGAGCTAACATTTTCCACTGCGTCTCGAGGCGAATGCCTGTGTGCAATCAGAAATGATAAGATCTGAGCCGGGCTATATTTCATCGCAGGCACACGATCAGCGAACATCGCTGCCAGCTCCTGGATATGCTTCTGGGTATCCTGAGCGACCTGGTTGTTGACGACTCCTTCGTCCTTGTCTCCTACTCTCTCGGTCTTGCTAGACAAGGGCAGATAGACGTATCGGAATAGCTCCAGCAGCATCTCTCGGCTTGCTAGGCCGAACTCAACCTTCTTGTCCACACGTCCTGGTCGAGTTACAGCCGGGTCGAGGCGATTGGCATGGTTAGTTGTCATGATCAAAATTCGTCCCTCCACGGAACCTACTCCATCGATGGCGTTCAGAAGGGCAGAGAGTGTCACGCTGCTGCTTGTGCTTGACCCAGCATCGCTGTTTTCACGAGTCTTTGCGCTTTCGATTGCATCGATGTCCTCTAGGAGGAGGACGCATCGTGTTGGTAATTTGCTCATCAATTTCTGAAGGGTCGCGTCGTTGATTTTGGACAAGTTCATGGCATATACGTCCAGGCCAAACTTTCCAGCAGCTGCCTGCCAAGCTCAGGCTTGTTTTGCCTGCCAGTTCCGGGCTCGCCATGCAGCAAGTAGCCACGGCTGTAAAGCTGGTCATGCTCGACATACCAAGCTACGGCCTCTGGGTCAAGGAACTTCGCAATGTCGTCGAAGAAGCCGTTCTTCACGTCCTCGGGAAGGATGACAGTATTTATCCGCTTTTGACCCCGCCGCGTGGCGAGATTCCAGCGGTCATCGCTGTTCATGTAAATTGCGGTCTTGCTTTCCGTTTGTTTCTCCAGCGTGACCTGGCAATCGTGAAGAAATTCTTTCAGAATTCCGTTCGACGTACCCATGCAGGAGAGGAAAACCCGTTCACGATGCAAGTACCCTTCTTCTGAGACGGAGCGCAGGTAAACAAGCTTGCCTTTGTACAAAAAGGTCTTGCGTAAGTTCTTTGGACTGTACTGCAATGTGTTCTTCGTCGCTCCGTTCCCAGGCTCGGCTCGTTTTCCGAGAGTCACAATCATGGATCGAGTTTCTGTGGCGAACGGCTGAGATTGCACCCAGTTTCTCAGTATGTCGTACGAATCATCGGTATAGGGAATCTCGACAGTAAACGCTGAGAACGGTTAGGTTTAGGTAACCCTGTGACATCAACATGGTGGACCAACTGAAATATTTCTCCACGATCCTAGCAACACGGCCATGCGCAAACCTCATCAAGAAAGTGACCAAGCCATAAATGCAGAGTAGGCGGGCGCCGAGATGAGATTTTCTGGACGTGAGGGGATGGATGTAGCTCAATGCAACGCCCAGTCCTGGGAAAAGAGTGTCCAGAAACGACACCTGCGAGTAAAGAGCACCAACTGTAGTGGATGTCATGTTGTTTCGGAATTGAATTATGGTCAAGTAGAGTTCGATGATAGCAATGTTCAGCTTGCTAGTAGACCAGGGAAAGGATGAATAAAAACGTCAAGAAGCACCCTGTAACTACATGGGCATTATATAGACGGCGAAGGGAGGACTGCTTCGCCCACGACATGGCGCTCACTGCTCACATTCCGCCTTCGGTCATGGATCAAGAGACCTACATGTCGAGTTTGACTGTCCTGGAAGCCGACTTAATGCTCCTGCAAGCCATATCACATTTTGCGAGAGCCTGCGTTACATCTGGTCGATCCTGAACACAGTAGTGTGGGCGGCTAGAGTTATTTTCTTCCAAAGATGCCCTGCCGTGGTCATTATTACTTTCTTCGAGATCGCGCGGTATCAACCATGCCAACGACCAAGTGTTCTCATGGTAGTGCAGCTGCGCGTTTCTACCTGAGACCTGCAGAGGTTGCTGTCCGCCGGTCTGAACCGTCGGCGAGAGCAGGCGTTCCAGCCAATCAATCTAGAAGCAACATGCGCAGACCCACTTACAAAAACAAAACTTGTGCGGACCTGCATAACATGAGTCGGCGCCTGACTTATTCTGCTTTGCAGGCTCGATAAGTCTCCGCTGATTTCACTAGTACTCCCCCCTCAGTATCCAACCTCGTGAATCAACTTTCCCAACTGTTTTAACCATGTCTGCAAATTCCGTGGTCTCTCAACTGCGCGGCCTTCTCGAAAAGGCGGAACAAATTCTGCCAAAGCTAACCAAGCTTTATCCGACGGGAGAGCAATGGACTGCCCTTAGTGATCTAAGCAGGGGGCTTTCTGCTGCAGGCACCGCAATCGGGGACAGGGTCCAGCAGCTGAAGAATACTCGGGAGCACAGAGCATGGAAAGAGAGTGAGAAGCATAGGCTTCATGCTTTGGCATGTGTAGGTGATCTTCTAACGAGCAATCGCCTAAAGCAAGCTACCATATTCAGGAGGAATATCGTTGCCATATTTGAAGGTCCGAAGCACTCTTTGTTCGACTCTGACGATGTGCGGGTACGAAAGGAAGCAACGCAACGGAGGTGCGAGCAAATTCGAGACACGAGTCACGACGGAGTCATTTCATGGGCGATTGCTTTTGCACCTAGCCTCTGGGCTGGCGGGGCAATGGCAAACGATATTTTCTCGTGCATTTTGGACAGTATTGAGCCGGATCAGTCACCGCCGTGGCCGTCAGTCATTCGTACAACATTGCAAATGCTGCAAGAGGATGAACCACGCTTACAAAATTCTCCCGATTTTGGTAAATTTCTGGCAGGTTCGTAGATCATTATGTTGCAAGATGCAAGGAGCTAATCAGACAGCATACGATGCTCCACATCAAAGCAAACGGGCTACACATAGAAAACGGAAACGTTTGGATGATTCAACATCGCCAGCCCGTGTTGATGGTCCACCCACTGAAAAAAGAGGTCATGGTACTATGGTCCTACCCTCTCAGGCCAATGTTACTGACTATAGATGTATAGGTCAAGAAGAAGAACCGTCAAATACATATCAAGGAGGAGTTTTCATTGTTCACAAAGAAGATGTCAGATATGCGCTGTCACTTGACCAGCATGTTTGGGAAATATGGCTCACAAATCCGGAACAAAGATATAACACGTACGATGGCATGAAAAGATCATTTCTAACGCTCTGGGTTTCTGAAGAAATGGGCGAGGAGTTAGGCAGGCGCGGTAAGCTCATGGTCGCAAACAAAGACACTGTCTGACAGTGACATACACAACGCAATGTGCTAGCGAGTATCCAGTTCAACATGACCGTTTCAATTTTACCACTCCACATCTATGCAAAAAGAATCTTCTTTTGTCTGAGCGCATGAGTGACATCTTGGAAAGTCTCCAGCTTCGGCTCTGCGGATCCCTTGTTGAAAACGTCGTGCCCGTTGCTATGTTTTGCATGTGTCTCATATGCTGTGCATACTCGCGGTTCTGCACCCTTTGCTGCAAACCTCCACCCAGTGTCCCTGCTTGGGATACAGCCATTTAGGCTAGAGACATCTATCATAACAGTTCCGCGAGGCAGGATGAGTTCATACATTGGTACTGGGTCCGGCTCTGTGACCTGTAATCCAATCAGATTTGCCAATTTGTTCAACTTGATATAATTGGACAACTCTTCAAAGAAGCTGCCGGCGACTTGGGATATATCTGGCATTGTGCCCATCTGATATTCGTAAGGGTGAAATCCATCCTCTGTCATAACGAATATGTGTCCATGCACCTTGTCCAAATTCATGACCGGTACAGCGATACTGTTGGCCCAGCGGCAGCGTGGTTCGTCATAATTTTCTCCAAGTAAGATCTCGCCTGTAGGTAGGAGGAAATGGCCATGAACTAAGTGTATGCCAAAAACCACGTGGGCACGGTTTCGAACGAAAATCTCAGCGAGGTTGCGTAGGTGGGTATCGCATAGTTCTGGTTGTTGTAGGTCATCCGGTAGGCAGTTGTAGCTGTTTGAAGTTAGCGAGAGAAGATCAGTCTGAAGAGGATATTCATACATATTTCGGCTCTTCTCCAGGTCGCCTTCCGTGGCAACCTTTGTGAGGCCCGGAATATCCATGCTCCCATACATACCCCGATAAGCGTAGAGATGACCTCCGAATTCCGTTGTGATGTAGCAGCCGCACTGCCTGACAAGCACGTCAGTTTTTCTTTGTGGTGAGAGAGCTCAAGAAGTCGTAACGATCATGTCGAACCTCCCCGCGGTGTCTTTGTGTGGTGAGATGCACGGTATGTGCGACCAGGAGCTTGATTTTCAGGGTGACGTAGGCATACAAGTTGACTGATAGTTTGCCCCGTATTTTACACGTGACCAGCCTTTGCGCGCAGAAGCCTTGCGGATGAACCCGTTTTGAGGAGCGGGGTAGTCGGAGCCTATATTATTTTTACTGACATGACGTGTCAGTCATAAATTTTGCATGTGATTCCATTCGTGCGTGGTCACGTGCTCACCACCGAAATCCTCGCGAAGAAAGAAGGACTAATTTGCTTTCGCCAATAAATAGTAAGTTTTCTGCATATTTGTGTGTGTATCTCTTTCAAATGGCTACAAAACGAGCGTCCATAAATTTGATTTTATTTACACTGTTTCCTTGTGTCCTGCAGCAGACGGCTTGGCTGCTTCATGGTGAAGAACACCGCCCAGACGTAGGGCTCTGCCAACAATAGCACTGCCCCTCATCTACTACCGGTATCGTTGCCGCTGATTACCTGCTCGTATTTTGCCATGAGCGCTCGAGTGCGGTCGTCGTTATCTGCAAGTGAAATCTTGGCTGTGCCTCCAACAACATGCGAAGACGAGCTATTAAGGACTGTAACGCCAGAACCAGAATCCTGACCATGGTTGGCGTCGAGCTCCTCCGTCCCATGTACCGGTCAAGTATCACAGGAACTAGCAGCACTGGCTGGTGAGGGTTGGTGAGGGAGCGACCGAGATCAGTGCCGCTGTCGAGTAGCCACACTCGTGGGAAGAGCTCGCCTCTCCTCCGACGCTGGCGACGCAGCGGTCGAGATCGGTGAATCTGTAAACATGGGAGTCGCATGGTTGTGTCAACAAGGCTTGTTAACGAAGTTTCCCTGAGCACCAGTTGTTGACTGGACGACTGGTATAAACACTTGCCCTTTCGAATCCATCTGGGCATCTCCTCATGTTGAAAAGGCTGCATTTTCACCGCCGCGGTCGGTGAAATTCTCAAGCTCTTCCACTGATCCCCCCCGGCCTCGGGACCTTTTCAGCAAAGCAATGTATCAGTCGCCGTTAAATAAATAACAGGAGCCTTTCTGAAAGTCCGGCACGGCCGCACATATTGCTTCAGCAATGGGCTGCTTCAACCAGACTGCTGTACTCCATCTAGAAGAACGCCGTGATAACGCTAGGTGTTCACTAATGTGCCAGCCAAACTAACCTGTTAGGTGCGTAGTGGTTCTGGTGGGTGTTGAGGCAGAGGCAGCCGTAGCATAGTCGGACTGAAGGTGGATGCGCGGGCTTTCGCCCGCAATGCATGGTCGGTTGTAGAGCTCGCGCGGGGTTCTTCGGTATGGCATGGACAGGCAGACCGAGGGCGAAGTCGGCGCAATGCGTAGCATGTGGAATCTCCAACGAGGAGGGAGCGCTCGCGCCGCGTCACCGTGGACGTTGACGATGCGATGTCCGCTGTAGGCAGGAGCTGGAGGATATGCTGTGTCGGGAGTAGCGGCGCTTCGATTCAAAGCCTGATCCATGACTAGATGAGCGCGGCGAAGGTGTGGGCGGGGCGTCAGAGTTGTTAAAGGGCGCCATAACGGGTTGGGGAGGCCTAAGGGCTATTCCCAGTGCTCGCAGTTGTTGTGCTGTTTGGCCACTGTGGCGGCTACGGTAGGCTTCCGTAGCAGGGTTAGGGCACCTGAACAAGTCAGTTTTGGCATAACGCAAAAGGCGCTCAGACTAACCGGTTAGCGTCCAGCATGCTGCGGTCGGATGGGAAGCTAGTGGTTAAGACAGCGCTGCCAAGCGTGCCCCAGCAACCGGAGCACTAAATACTAGCATCCTCTCGTAACACGGCGCAACTTCCTATCCATCTAAGCAAGCTCAACATGCCAGAAAAGATATTCTCATGCGCGAAATTCAATCTCGATGCTCTGCTTTCACTCGCAGGAGGACTTCGGGGTCGAGAATGCGTCTGCAATGTAGCCGCCGCGCCGAAGACAGGAAGTATGAACTGGGCCATCTTCGTATCGTTTGATGATGGGCTTGATTGGGTCTTTCGTTCCCCGCGCAATGGTCCCAATGCTATCGTCTCTGATGAGTCTGCGCAGAAAATGCTTCTCAGTGAAGTTGCAACGCTGAAGTTTTTGAGGAACAGCACCTCAGTCCCTGTTCCTGAAGTGTACTCCTTCAGGTTGGAATTGTCATTCTCCCTCACAGATATACCTTTTACTAACCTCTCTTAGCGGATCGTATGATAATCATGTTGGGGTACCATACATTCTCATGAGCAAGGCAGCCGGTCGCCCGTTATCTGATTATGACTGGGCCAATATCCTGCGCCAAACACCAGGATACCCGCAACTTCGTCCACTTCTGCCGCTGCCAGATGGAACGAGAGAAATAGTGATGAAGCAACTAGGAGCTTTCATGCGACAATTATCCACACTTCGTTTTGAGAAGATCGGCTCTTTATTTGAGGACAACAGCGGCAATTATGTCGTCGGAGAGTGTCTCTCGCCGACACTTACGTGGCAGCAGAGGGATTCGGTCGATGGTATAGAGCGTGGCCCTTTTGTGCACGAGAGCCAATATTTGGAGTCTCTCATTTCTGCCTTTATATCGCATGTGAAGGAGCTCCCGCTTTCACCTCATGCTTTTTTTGCACCAATTCCCGATCACTCCGAATATTCGAGCTGGTCGAGCTACAAGGCTGCTGTGAGACGCTGGAATGACTATGTCGCGATCGGTGCAAAAATTGAAAGCAGCAAGAACCGCTTATCCTACTGTCTCGCCGGCCAGGTGCTGCGGCAGATGATCCCTCATCTCTCTTCTCCGAACGATTTTTATACGTTATCTCATCCAGACCTCCATCCTGGTAATATATTTGTCGATGAGAAATTCAACATCGTGTCTCTGATCGATTGGGGCTCTGCGTCGTCTGGTCCAATCTCCGAACTACTTGCCACACCTGGCCTTGGGAGCTCGGTCTTTACCCCCCCAAAGCAGCTAGTTAGCGCATTTCGATGTGGTTTCTGTCCAGAGCATCCGCTACCGGCAGGATCCTGGGAGAGAGCAGATATGATGTGGTACTTCTCGCGGCTGGTTCGCTTGCTCTCGACACAAGATTACAGATTATTCCAAGCCCTGTACGAGCTTGTCAACAAGAAAGAAATTGAAGACGCAGAGATACTCGAACTTTTCAATGAACTGGCGACAGAGGAGGAGAACCAACATCTTCTCGCGATGCTGCGTGCTGATGATTACACAGCGCCAGAGTTAGAACAGGAAGAGGATGCGGCGTTTGGTCGTGGCAAGACTGATAAAGGGGATAGCCGTGCAGTTGCAAGGAAACTCACGGTGATGGCAGAAATCAACCATAATTTTCTCGCAAAGTCGAAATTATGGCGATGGATTGAGCGTGCGTTGATGGGATGAGATAATGACCATCTAGGTAATTGATAATAGCAAACAATACACTGTCAATATCCAACGCAGTACAGTGAACAATGCTTCCTCAAGTTGTTCAGTACTGGACATTGCAAAGTCTCACAAATTCCACGCCAACTTCAATGGTTTCGCCAGTTTCCTCAACTTGAATATTGAAGGCTTAGCTAGACGATCCACGATTCTTATGGGGTAGGTCAATACTCACGAACGGTCGCAGCGTGCTTCCGCTGACACCAGGGATATCGACAATCAGCCCAGTTTGCCAAACTCCTGTTTCCACTTGAGAATTATGAGCAATGCTAGTAGCAAGTATATAATAAATTCGGCACTTGCCGTTGTAGAAGTAAACGTAGTCGCCAGCGACGTAGTAGCGTTTTACCGTTGCCCCATCGGGGGGAAGAGGCACCCAGTCAGGCGTTGACGGAGGGTCTCTAGCTCGTCTCCTCGGCATTAAGTCAGATGCAAATAAAGGATGAAGGTTTAGGTATCGATGGAAAAGACGATGAGTATTGATCACTGAAGACCCATTTCCGTCCATAGTGAATGACTAGCAATACGGAACTTTATATGAGAAACAAACCTCTAAAGGCATGTCTTGCTCCCAGGATGGCAAACCAGGCCTGCAGGCGCGTAGAAGCAACTGCAAGCCGAACAGTCAATAAGAAATAGAAGCACCGCTTCAAGCGCTGTCGTTAGGCTCTTCATGAAGGCAGCAACAAATGGTGGGATAATTCATCGCTACTCCGGCTTGTAGATCCAGTTGGTCAAGTTCACAGGGGGAAACAGGCGGCTCGTCAACCAATGACAACTCTCTCATTCAGCCCCTACTGAGGGTCAAATGACGCGTGCTTTAAGGCTGTAGCCTTTAATGGTGGACCGAGCTCTATCGTAGCACTTGTGTGTAAAAATCAGCTCGGTATTGATTGGACCCGGAGGAGGGTTGCCTCCTACAGTTGTGCAATCCGAGAGGATGAGCTATATGCGTCCTGCAGCCACAGCGGCAATCAGTTGGCAAGCAAGAGTCGCAATACCTATGACGCAAACTTTCACCAAATGAAATCGTCAATTGGTTGTTGAGGGTAATGTTAACTGTCACTTAAACGCCCGTCGAGGTTGCATCTCCTTTGCCTGACATTAAGTGGACGAGTTGAGGCTAAGCAAGTGGGTGTACATGATGCGATTGGTCGCTCTCAAATGACTCAGTTGGCGCTGTGGCTGCGGCGGAGCCCGATGTTCCCCTCTTGTAGTGGAGATTCACACGCGGGGGAGCTGAAGTGAATCCGCAGTCACGGTCAACATTCTGCTTCAGGACACAGACCAGTCGGGTGACTCATGGTCCTTTGGGATATTGTCAGCCAAACTATTAGCCGCTTCAGATTGTTAAGTGGCGTTTGGTTCACCTAGTGTGAAGCGGGAGGCAGATTTTTTGCGGGTACCAGCATAAGACGAGGCTAACAGAAGACACTGTGGCAGTTCGCGACGTTATGCAACCGGCCAATCATTAGCGGCTGGCTCTGAAGTGCCATAAATATGTAGAACTCGCGGGTAGTGACCCCACCTCTCTGCCTCAGGCAATAATCGGTCAGCTTCAACCGTGGGGTCCAGCGGCTGGCATCGTCACGACCTTGGGAATGGCCAGCTTCCCTAAATAAAAGGCGTCGTTGCCAGTCAGCATTCGCGTCGCCATGGCCATCACTCGAGCGCAGTTGGCGACCCAAGAAGGGCACGCATCATCAGTGCGAAAAGATCAAGGTACGTGTTTCATGAAGCGCCGAAGAGACCCTCGTTGACAACAAAATAGGAAAGAGACCCAAGGGCATTCAAAAGCAAAGACGGACGACACGACTCCCAAAATATCTTAAACGCGATCACCCGCAAGTTTCCACTGTCGGAAAGATCCCATCTCCTAAAGTATAGTCGTGACAATTCTTTTTTTTTTTTTTTTGCAAGCACGCAGGGCTCTGCGCCTCGCAGACGTGGCACGAAACGACCTGCCGACGCGATCGGTCACGATTCGGATTCCCCCCAGAAGCGGTCTCGGCGATCCTCCGGACTCAACTCTGTGGGAGATTCTGTCGATAACCCAGCGAACAATCATAGCAACGTCTGCAAGCCGACCGACCCAATTTATTTTTGGGCACAAAAAGGAAGGTGGCCGAAGGAATATTTTGAATCGAAGATGGAGCATCTACTTGCACGGAAGAAATCTCTGTCATCTCTAAGCCGCAAGAGATCAAATTCTGCCACTTCCACGACACCCAGCGATCAGAAGCCGAGAGAAGAGAAAAGTGCGCCCTATAGAGACGTGAGGTATGAGCTTCTACTCCAAACGAAGGGCACATATATGGATGTCTCGGAACATGACATCACGCATACGAGCAAGCGCTTTATCTCAGACCTCTTAGAAGAAGACCAGCCAGTTCCTAAGGATACAATCTTTGACGAGATTACTTTCGCGGACGCTTGTCGCAACTTGCGTGGGAAGAATGAAGCCAGGGTCATTCAGGATATATCTCGACTGATAGTCCCATCGGCCGAAACCTTAGCTTTACGTACCAAGCATCTCAAACATCTCATCGAGAGTGTCAACGAAGGATGGAACAACTCGATCTCCCTAACTGGGACTCGCCCCCAACCCGACTACTCCGTGGGCTTCAGGCGGGATGCATTCAGCGAAGACCAGTTGACCAAGCTATCACCCTTCGTTGGCGATTTTATCGGCGGAGATCGTTCCTTCTTCATGGCGACATATTACATGTACTTCCCTTTCCTGACTTGCGAGGTGAAATGCGGTGCTGCAGCGCTGGATGTGGCGGACCGTCAAAACGCCCATAGTATGACCCTTGCAGTACGGGCTGTCACCGAGCTCTTCCGTGCAGTGAAGCGCGAGACTGAGGTACACCGGGAGATTTTAGCCTTCTCTGTCTCGCACGACCACAGGTCGGTGCGGATCTACGGTCACTATCCGGTGATAAACGGGAAGGATACGAAGTACTATCGCCATCCAATCCATACGTTCGATTTCACAGCACTCGATGGAAAAGAGAAATGGACGGCATATCGCTTCACGAGAAACGTGTACGACTCT